GGCCGCCCCGGCAACCAGGAGGCGGCCAGTGGCGTAGAGCATGTCGGGGCCGGGCAGACGGGGGTGACAGAAGAAAGACGGGCTCAGGGAACTGCAACTCCCAGCAGCGCCGGGTCGGGGACGCGGGCGGCGGCGGGAGGGCGGGGCGAGCCCGGGGCCGCACGGAAGACCATGCTAGTCCAGCCCCTCGCTTCACCCCGACGACAGCCAGCGGTCTGAGTCGCCGGAGTGTCGCTGGGCCTCAGTTGTCGGCCAGTCCCAGGCGCGAAGTGTCTTGGCCTGGACGAGGGGTCGCCCGAAGTGCGAGATGCAAGCGGGGAAGGTCGGTGCCACGCTCCCGGGAGAAGGGCGCTAGTTAGAAACGCCAAGTCCTGGGGGCGGGTCAAAGGTGAGCCGCTCCGCCCACAGCGCCACAACGACTCCCGGCGTGCAGTGCGCCGCGCCTGGCGCGATCTGCGTCTGCGCGCGGCCTTCGGAGGTTGGCTGTCGCGGAGGTTCGCTGTCGCGGAGGTTCCGGCCGGAGGTGGCGCTTCTATGGGGCTCGAGAGCGGGGCGGGGGCGGGTCGTGTACCCGTGGCGCGCTCCACTCCGGTGTCGGCCCTCCTTAGCCCTCCCACAGCGACCTCTACCTGGGCTGCGGAACGTCAGCCCTCACCTCGCAGCACCTCCCAGCCCTGCGCGCGCAGTCCTAGCAATTACTGGATGGCCTTGCAGGGGGAGATGTGAGCGTTTTACAGGACGCGAGGGGAGGCGTTGTCCTCGCACCCCTCCCCCGGGCCCCTCTGAAGGAAAGGGCTGGATATTCTGCTTGTTTTCTAAGAGGCCCAGTTGAGTCTTAGGCATACTGAAGTCTGAAGGACGCTGTTTTAGCTAGATCTAAGGAAAGTCGCAATCAGGTGGGACGTTATACATGAATAATGTCTAGCCCTCCCATTTCCAATGGGACTTTAGGAGACTCTCTAAAGTCACGTGCAAGAGGTGATTTAAAAATACAGTCTGCTAAGGACCAGCACATACTGTAGCAGTTGTGTCGCTGGATTCCCTCATGGTCGGCCACGGTTTGAATCCCGGACTTGGCAGATTGCTTTCTCTCTCTCTCTCTCTCCCTCTCTGGTCAAATTTAAATAAATAAATAATTGATTGTTTTTTAAAAATACAATCTGCTAGAATAATCAGAATGCATAACAGAATTGGAAACAATTCTTCAGGAGTGCTGATTAGATGGATACTTTACTTGGACTTAAAATTTAGCTCAACAAATACAAAAAGGAACGAAATAGTTTATACAGTTATCACTGGTAAGAGAAAGCAGAAATTGCCCAAGAGATTTCAGATTTCCCGGTTATGAGCCATGATGGATAGCAGTGGCATTTCTTGTGACCCTGGTTGGAGTTAAACGCGTATCAGTCATCAGGTAAGGCATTTTTCAGGCATTCTTCACTTAGGTGCAGGTCCTTCCTCAGACCAGCCCCTGTCTTAGCCCCGGGGTTCCCTTCAGCCACATGTGTAAGGAAAGGGATGCCTCCCCAAATAAGGAAGATTCAATTGTGGCCTCCCAACTCCTCCTCTTTGAAGGACACTTGCTGCCTCTTACCCATTCTGGGCCAGAACCTTCTTCATTTCCCCCAAAAAGCGTCTTCGGGGTTTTTTTTTTTTTAGATATTTTTCTATAGGGTATGTGTGCTCGCTGGGCCAGGAAACAAATCACCCCCGATGGGGATGATAATGTGGCAATCCCTTCTCCTCCATTCTCCCCTCTGGATTTTGGGCACATGGACACACGCCTGGTGTGAGTTTCAAACCACTGAGTCTGGGACTCGAACCACAGTCAACTCTGTGGGAGTCCAGCAACGTAACCATTATGCCCTCTGCTGGTCCCAAAAGGTGCCCTTTTTAAGAAAGGTCCTTTAAAAAAAATAAAAAAGACCAAGTTGGTAGTGCAGAAGTGGTGAAAGCAGGTTCAGATAGCATGTGGGGGTCAGCAGAGGGGAAGGGATCTTCGGTGAAATGCATGTATTCATTGAGGTGGTAGGTGAGTGATCTGAGAGATTCTATCAGGTTCTTCCTCATCCGCATGGACACACGTGTGTCTGTGGGGAGATTCATGAGTGCTAATCACTGGTGACTTTCCTGGGTCCTGCTTTGAGATACTGGTTACCAAGAGGCATCAGAGAAATTAACTTTTGAGTTCTTAAACTTTACAGGGGCCACACACTCAGCTGCCTCTGGGAGCTGGAAGGACACAAAAAACGTCAGAAGTGGGCCAGGTGTGAGAAACAGCAGGCTAGGGAAGGCACACCCTGACTGACAGATGCTATTAATCTGCTCCAGTCAATGGTTGCTACTTAAGAACCTGAACCCGCATCTCCAGATTTTTTTATTAAAAACAAAAAACAAGATTTATATATGGAATTACTGGTCTTTAAACATTGACAACTGATGGAACATTTTAAAATATTGTGTATACCAAACAACACTTCTGAGAGCCAAATAGGGCCCCTGTAGGCTGCGAACTTGCAACCTCAGCTTTGGGGTGAATGGGTGTATCTGCCTAATTTTATGAGGCAGCCATGAGCTTGGAGAACTGGTGGGTAGGAGGTTCAAGGAGATGGATACCAAAGCATCAGGACATTAGAATTCTTGGTCTTTCTGGCACTGCTAGAAGGACTCTAGGCCATCACTTTAGGGCAATCCTTTGTTTTACAAAAGAGAGAGCTAAAGACCAGAAATGGCTGGGATTTGTCCATGATCTTGCAGGACTGTTTCCTGCACTGGGCCCAGACCTCGGGCATGCCAGCCCCAGCTAACTCCACCACACGAACTACTGCCTCCCCACCAGGCCACGCCCCACCCAGGAGACCAAACCTGGCCCTGGGAACTGTCCACAAGGTAGAAGAAGATACTATCTCTGACCAGAGTCAAAGTTCCCTGTACGCCTGTCTAGCCCAGCTTCCTCATTGGTTCAGAGGATCCACCCCTTCAGGGTTCCTCCCCTGCCTGGCTGCTCTGTGAGAGTGGACAGTCCATGGGAGGCCAAGGGTCACTGCAGCACCATGAGTGAGTCTGGCAAGGTAGGGAAGGCACTTGCAAACGAGCTGCACCTTGTGGGGGCCACTCCGACCTCCGGAGCTCAGGCCAGCACAGTTTGGAGCTGAGGGAGTGCGTGCAACTCCCAGGCCTCTGCCCCAGAGAGCTGAGTCTGGCACAAGCTACACAGAGGCGGACCTGAGGAAGGAGGCCTGGTGGGGTGAGAAGAAACAGTGTTGGCTCAGAGTGCCTGTGTCTGGGGACTGGTCTGAGGGCTGGTGCCTTCTCTCCAGGGGCTCCTGAGGCTAGGAACGCACTGAGCACGGTTAATGTGCACTCCTGTTCTCTCTCGCCAGCCCATCCTCTATTCCTATTTCCGAAGCTCCTGCTCATGGAGAGTCCGAATTGGTAAGAGCTTTGCCGCTGCAAGCTGAGCAGCCGGGATGGTGGGAAGAGTGGAGATGCCTGTGTGCAAAGCTGGCACGGGATAGAAGGTGCACTGTCAGCCAGACTCCCCAGGCTCCCGAAGGCCCTGTTCCGAAAGGCACGTCCACCCAGGAACTTCAAGAAGAGAAGGGCCGGGTGGGAGGAAGAGAGTGATTTTTCACATGAGACTGCCCTTTCTCTCTACACCACTCTCCAAAGCCCCTTGACAACTGTGCAGAAAGCAGGCTTGCCAAACCCAGAGGGCCCTGGTTACTGGCAGGGAACAGCTGGCCTCCCTCGGTTATCTTATTTGACCTGGCAAATTAAACAGAACTGGTCAGTGTCAGCTGCAGAGGCTTCAGGAAGCAGCATCTCCCACTCTCTGGAGAGTTCCAGTTTGACCTTTCCTCCCCAAGTTGGTACAGCCTTGGGCAGAGATCGCATTCAGAGTCGCTCACGCTGCTAAAGAGCTCCATGCCAAGTGCTTTTCATGTATGATTCCACTGACACCTCGTCCCTGTTGTACAGATGAGGAAACTGAGGCGAGATACTTGTTCCATCTGCTGAGAGGCAGAGCAGGAATTTGAACCATGTAGTCACTCCAGAGTCCACTGTGCTATGCTCCTCGTCAGATGAGGAAACTGAGGCACAGAGGCTCATTAAGTTACCTGCTCAAGGTCACAGAGCAAGTGAATGCAGTAGACTTTGAACCCAAGCAGGCTACCTCCAGAGCCTGGCCCCAACTCTAATATAAAGCCACCCTCCATGACCCCTCTCCACCCACAGTCACTTGATATTTGCTGGAGTTAGCCAGAGCATTGGGTCCCAGGAGAAACTTCTCCAAGAGGTACCCGTCCTTGACCCCAGAGTCTCTGCCCTAACCCACCACCATATAAAGCATAGGAGAGGCAGAGGGAGCGGGACATAGCCCTCTGGGAGTCCAGTCTTCCAGGACACACACCTTCCTAGTACCTCTCAGAGAGCAGGAGGGCCCCCCTGGGGACCCAGAGAGCCAGCTCTAAGTCCACGGGTGAGAGACACAGCGCATCCTGCACCCGAGGTAGGGGAGTGGGCAGTGACAAGGACAACTGGAGAGAAGGCGATAGTCTGAAGCCTGGGCATTGACTCCCCCAAGAGGGTGCAGAAACCCCCACCCCCTGCAGCCCCATGGCTCCCTGGAGGGCTCCTTCTCCGGGTGTATAACCAGAGGCTAGTCCCTGACTCTTCTCCATGGTATGTCCTAGCTCTGGCCTTGAAAGGCATTGACTATGAGACGATGCCTATCAATCTCGTCCAGGATGGGGGGCAGCAGGTAAGGAGACAGCCCCAGATCATGATGTGGGGGTTGGCACGTGGAGAGGTACCGCAGGGAGTGTCTCTCCAAGCAGTGCCCCTGTGTCTTACGGCTCCTTGGGTGGAGGAGGCTGCTGGCTCACACTGTACAACAGGCTGTAGAGCAGTAGCAGCCAGGGGATGAGCCAGGGTTCCAGGCCCCCAACCATAGTCTGGCCCTTCAGCACCAACCCAGGGGGTGGGTGGAGAGTGGATGCCCCACATTGGGCCCTCTGGATGGCTGGCTGAGATCGGAGCTGACTCGGCAGCCACAGTATGAGATACAGGAGGAAGCCCACGATCAGGCCACTGGATGACGCCTGTAACCGGGCGGCTGCCAGGTGTGCGTACTACACAGGTCCCTGGGGCCTGGGAGCTGGGTCCTCCCCAGGGAAGGGAATGCGAGGATGGGTCTTCCTGCTTGCTTGGTTCTGCTCTAGCCAGCTGAGGCCAGGCCAGCCAGCACACCAGGGCCTTGTCTCCACAGTTCTCCAAGGAATTCCAGGCACTGAATCCCATGAAGCAGGTGCCAGCCCTGAAGATTGATGGAATCACCATTGGCCAGTCAGTGAGTGCAGGGCTTGGGGAGGCCCCGTGAGAGCCAAGCCCTGGATGAGAGGGCCATGCATGTCCCTCGCCTGCATGTGGCCGAGGCCCCTGGTGCCTCACCCTCACGGGACAAGTGGTACAAGGGAGAGAGGGTGTTTGGGGAGTGTGGGGAGGACATGCATTTGGGGAACAGACCAAGAAGGCTTTCTAGGGCTCAAGCTGAGGAGGAGGAAGAGGAGGGAGAGGTGGTAGTGGAAGGCCCTGCCCTCTCTTGCCCCAGGCCCCCTCCCCTCCTCACTGCTCCTCTCCTGACAGCTGGCCATCATTGAGTACCTGGAGGAGACTCGGCCCACTCCACCGCTCCTGCCGCAAGACCCAAAACAGAGGGCCAGCGTGCGCATGATTTCTGACCTCATCGCTGGGGGCATCCAGCCCCTGCAGGTGTGGCACTTGTTCCCTGGCACCCCTCACACTTACCTTCCAGCACTCGCATGCTGATGTCCTGAGCCCGCAACAAGATGCTCAGTGTGGGGTGGGGATGGCAGGAGGGCAGAGGGATTCTGAGGGGGCTTCAACCTAGACCACTGAATGGCAGGAAGCAGCGGGGATCCCAGAAGTCAGCCGCCCTTTGGGCTCCAACCCGCAATCTTAGAAACCCTAGGTTTCCAAGGATGTACCTGGAGGTGCTCTAAGTGGGAAAGGCTCTCTAGTGCCAACCCCAAAAGATTGTAGCAAGTGGGTGTCCCACACTGGGCCCTCTAGGGACAGTCTGGGAGAGGCTGAGCAGGCCCAGGTCCAGGCCTCCTGCCTGTGTTCTATATCATATTTGGAGTTCTCATAGGATTTTTTTTTTTTTCACTAGTAAAACAAAAAAGCATCCAGTCATTCATGTGTGTCAAACCCTGACTTGGTAAACAAGGAAATAGCTGAGTCATACAGCTAAGTTAGCAGAGCAGGGACCAAGCCCAGGACCCCTGTGCACCTGAGTCCCCTACCCCGTGTCATCTCGCTTATTAACACAAGCACTTAGACAGACATCACCATTTTACAGTGAGGAAACGGCTGAGAAGTAAGATGGCCCCAGGGGTGCAAGGATGGAACCGGAGTTGAAATCTCTGAAGCCAGTCCTGTGTGCCTGCCCCATCCCATCCCCACCCCTCCTCCCTGCACGAGGACCACGTAGGGGGGAGCACTGAGCGTAAAGCAAATAGGCCACAGCCATGGCAGCGTCCTGTGTCCCTGCTTCTCTGCCAGAACCACGTGGCTTCCAGACCCAGGGCCATGGGGAAGCCTGAGGCAGTGGCTGTGTGGTAGCCACCGCCTACCAGCTTCAGGCTCCTGCAGGGAGGAGGGACTCACAGAGCCCGGGGCAGGGGGTAGGTATGCAGCTAGGGCAGATGGGAACTGACTTCCCTGAGGAATTTGGCTGTGGGGCAGGCCCAGGCTGGCTCCCAAAGCACTCATGAATTTCCCTTGGGTTGTGCAGAACTTGTCTGTCCTGAAGCAAGTGGGACAGGAGAAGCAGCTGGCCTGGGCCCAGAAGGCCATCAGCTCGGGCTTTAATGGTGAGTCCTCCCCAGATGGCCTCTTAGAGAAATGGCCCTCGTGCACACGGCCTGGGCATCTGAACCAGCCTCCTAGACTGCTTCAGTCTTGACAGTGGCATGGAGGTGGACATGGCTAGGAAGGAGTGGGCTGGATGGGCACCCACAACTGGCCTCAAGCTCTGGCCCTTCTGGGAACCTCAGGACCTGAGGCCACAGCCCTTCAGAGCTGGATGACCCAACTTCTGCTTCACTGCCCACTTCAGCCAGGAAACAGTGCCAGCCTATCAGCGTGGGAGCTGCTGCCTTGGCCAGCGGCAGATCTTATCCACTCTGGAGAGTGTGAGGGGCTGGTGTCTGGACTTGAGGAGCCCAGGAAAACCTCACTTCACCCCCTAGCTACTCTCCAGGCGTGGCTGCCACATTCCCCACACCTAATCTGCCCCTGGGATAGCTGCCCGTTTCATAACTGCAGAGGCCAAAGCCCAGAAAGGTCGATGTCCCCTTCATGCCCAGGGTAAGATTATTCGTGTGGTCCCCACAGCTCTGGAGCAGATCCTGCAGAGCACAGCAGGGAAGTACTGTGTGGGAGACCAGGTAAGCCCTCCCCAGGCCTGCCCACAGCCGCCTCCTCCCTCAGGCTGTCGCTCTCTCCTGCTCAGACCCAGCCCCCTCCCTCTCCCCAGGTCTGGGTCTGCTCAGAGCTTCCTGAGGGGGGACCTCTATGCCAGGCAGAATTAGCCCCTGGGGAGCTCCTCAGCCTTTTCCTACTAAGCTGCCTCAGGAAGCAGTGCGGTGTTCAGGCTGGAAGAGCACATCACTGAGATGATGCGGGGCCTGGATGTCAGCTGAGGGATCAGACTAGGTGACATCTCCATCCCCTCCCAGTTCTGAGTCTAGGGTTACGTGCCATTTACTCCTGCAGGCCAAGGCCCTACACCTGTGGTCTGGGTCCATGGCTCCCCACCCCACTGCCTGCTCCCTACTGAGAGCCCTCACCCAGTCCCTAGAGATAGCCATTTTAATTTTTTTTCTGAGGCTTTTGCTATAGGGCGTATGTGCTCGCCAGAAAGACAGACAGACAGATAGAAAGCAAGAAATCACCCCCCAAGGGGGATGGCCAAGCCACAATCCCTTCTCCTCCATTCTCCTCTCAGGGTCTTGGGCACGCACGCACACGTGCCTGGCGTGAGTTTAAGCCACTGGGTCTAGGACTCGAACCACAGTCAACTACATGGGAGTCCAGTGACATAGCCATTAGGCCAACTGCTGGTCCTGATGGCCATTTTAATAAACACAGTAACATCCACCAGGGCAACAAACCCACAGAGCTGGTTGCCAGGGCAACTGGACTGCAGCCTGGGAGAAGCACTTCAGCTCTAAGGGACAGACGCTGGCAGACCCAGGGGAAATGAGGCTGGGGTAGGATGGTGGGATGGGCAGAGGAGCTGGAGCAGATGGGAACTTCAGAGCTGACACCCACAGCTCAGTCACGATCTTATCCACTCTGGAGAGTGTGAGGGGCTGGTGTCTGGACTTGAGGAGCCCAGGAAAACCTCACTTCACCCCCTAGCTACTCTCCAGGCGTGGCTGCCACATTCCCCACACCTAATCTGCCCCTGGGATAGCTGCCCGTTTCATAACTGCAGAGGCCAAAGCCCAGAAAGGTCGATGTCCCCTTCATGCCCAGGGTAAGATTATTCGTGTGGTCCCCACAGCTCTGGAGCAGATCCTGCAGAGCACAGCAGGGAAGTACTGTGTGGGAGACCAGGTAAGCCCTCCCCAGGCCTGCCCACAGCCGCCTCCTCCCTCAGGCTGTCGCTCTCTCCTGCTCAGACCCAGCCCCCTCCCTCTCCCCAGGTCTGGGTCTGCTCAGAGCTTCCTGAGGGGGGACCTCTATGCCAGGCAGAATTAGCCCCTGGGGAGCTCCTCAGCCTTTTCCTACTAAGCTGCCTCAGGAAGCAGTGCGGTGTTCAGGCTGGAAGAGCACATCACTGAGATGATGCGGGGCCTGGATGTCAGCTGAGGGATCAGACTAGGTGACATCTCCATCCCCTCCCAGTTCTGAGTCTAGGGTTACGTGCCATTTACTCCTGCAGGCCAAGGCCCTACACCTGTGGTCTGGGTCCATGGCTCCCCACCCCACTGCCTGCTCCCTACTGAGAGCCCTCACCCAGTCCCTAGAGATAGCCATTTTAATTTTTTTTCTGAGGCTTTTGCTATAGGGCGTATGTGCTCGCCAGAAAGACAGACAGACAGATAGAAAGCAAGAAATCACCCCCCAAGGGGGATGGCCAAGCCACAATCCCTTCTCCTCCATTCTCCTCTCAGGGTCTTGGGCACGCACGCACACGTGCCTGGCGTGAGTTTAAGCCACTGGGTCTAGGACTCGAACCACAGTCAACTACATGGGAGTCCAGTGACATAGCCATTAGGCCAACTGCTGGTCCTGATGGCCATTTTAATAAACACAGTAACATCCACCAGGGCAACAAACCCACAGAGCTGGTTGCCAGGGCAACTGGACTGCAGCCTGGGAGAAGCACTTCAGCTCTAAGGGACAGACGCTGGCAGACCCAGGGGAAATGAGGCTGGGGTAGGATGGTGGGATGGGCAGAGGAGCTGGAGCAGATGGGAACTTCAGAGCTGACACCCACAGCTCAGTCACAGTGGACACGCCCCACCCAGCCACTGAGCCCCAGGTACCCACCCTGATGCAGACCCACCCGGCTCTCTTTCAGGTGTCCATGGCTGACCTGTGCCTAGTGCCTCAGGTGGCAAATGCCGATAGGTAAGAGAGAGCCCTGCCACCCTCCCTCCACCCAGCTCCACCCTCAGGCAGGCCCCTCTCTTCAGCTACTGGGGCAGCATCTCGTACAGGCTGCCCCAACTGACCAGAAGACACTTTGGTCTAGAAGAAATCAGCAAAATACCCTTACCATGCCCACCCAGGTGATCCTGCACAGTACAGACAGCCCCATTCTAAGAGGCAGCTCACCTGGTGGACACCCCAAGAGCACCTGCCCGCTGTCACCAGCTGTGGTGTGTCTGCCTGCTTTCTTACATCAGTCCTTCAACAGGGCTTGAATGAGTACCTCTCCGTGCAAGGCTCAGGCCAGGCATTAGAGACATGCAGTGAATGGCACAGCCCTGCCTCGAGCTTAGGATATGGGTAAAGAGACACACTGTGTATATAAGCGGCTAGCACTGAACCTCACACGAGTGGGTTCTCAGTACTGTCATTGCTTAGACGGGCACAGTAGGTGACATGCCAAACGATATGGCTCAAGACCTACCCATGCTCACTGTGTACCAGGCTCCCCTGCAGAGCTGCCTTACCTCCTGTCCTGGCCAGCCCCATGGCCATCATCCGGCCTTACCTCTCTGCTCCCTTACTACCCACAGGGCAGTCACCCTGAGTCCTGAAACCGTAGTTTTCAGAGTGTTCTCTGTTATAGGTTCAAGGTGGATCTCAGCCCCTACCCTACCATCAGCCGCATCAACAAGACACTGCTGGCATTGGAGGCCTTCCAAGTGTCTCACCCCTGCCGGCAGCCGGATACACCTGCCGAGCTGAGGGCCTAGTTCCCAAACCTTCCCAGCTGACGTGGGGAGCAGGGTGTGGGAGCAGAAGCTGGGTGGGCTGAGCGGACCTGGAAACGGGTGCATCCTAATTGAATTCTACCCCTGGAACTTGGACTCGTGCCTTGGATCTGCCGTCCTACTGCAGCTTGTTCTGCCTCAGTCTTCTCATCTGTCACATGTGGGCAGAGCAGGGTTGGGGGGTGCAGGGAAAAGGTGGGCAGAATTGTTGCCTGCCTGTCATGGGCAGACATGCAGACAAAGTGAGAATGGGGATTAAATGCCTGGCGAGTTCACCGGAAAGGAAGCCTGCACTCCTTCTCTTATCCCTCTTACTATACCTGACCCCAAAGAATGCCCACAGTGCAATGTGGCCATTAACCGAACAGACCCCCAACTTGCTCGGTTAAGACTAAATGGGGTTCCAGAAGATGCACACACTCCCTAGCTGGAATCCGTGTGTCTGACCAGTTGAAAAGGTCAGTCAAGCTACTTGTCCACCCTGTGGCAGGCCTGACCCTGGCACCTAAGGGTGAGGAAGAGAAAAAAGCCCAAAGCCTGCCCGAGAGAATCAGATGAGTCAGGGAGAGAGCAGAGGTAGGGAGCTGAAGTAAGCATCTGGTCACCAGGAGTGGCACCACTGTTAGTGTTCTACGCAGTTGGGCACTTAGGTAAATCCAAGCATGATGGCCCTGGGAACAGAAGGCAGGCTCGCCCATGGGCAGCGCGAACAGCTGTTGACCAGGCAGCTACTGACCATGGGCTGCCCTGGAGGGAACAAGTTACTTGGTTGGCAGTGTTCAGGAATAAGCAGGACACCAGGGGTAGAGATGCGGTAGGGAGAGGGGGGTAGCTTCTGGGAGTGAGACAAGAAGGCTTTTCATGACCTATATGTGAGATTTCATTTTCCCCACACGGCTGAGGTTAATCAGGGAGTTACGCTCTGTGTGTGGTTCTACCGAGGCCACCATTCTCAGCTACGAGTTTCTTTTCTCCAGTCCCGATTCCAGGGTCCCCTGTTCCCTCTCACCTTGGGCTCCTTTCTAGCCTCCCCTCATAGATAATCTGGGTTCCAAGCTCTAGAATGGCCAATGTAGGCACCTCTTCCTGAGGCAAGTTTGTCCTGGCAAAGCCAGAAAGGAGCGGGAAGAAGGTAGATGGCAATAATGGAGGAGTTCGGTACCTTCTGTCCTGCTGCGCTGCTACCGGGACTCTCTCCCGCTGGTTACTCCAGACTAGCCTAACTGCATAAGGCTCACAGGAAGAAATCTCTGCTCAGTATAAGAGACTAAGCCCTGAGGTTAGCAATCATCATCGTCTGATGTGGAGGTCAGAAAGTGAAAGTGATTAAAACTCCTAGAGATCTTAAAGCTACAAGGAACTCAGGACAGGAGGGTGGCTCTATACTTCAGGCATGTCCCTGCAACTCCCATGGCAGTGTGCCCCCGCAGACCTGGAGAGATGGTGGGATCAGAGAGGAGCCACAGACAAGCCTCAGGGGCTGGGTGTGTCCAGATGAGCGCTGCCACCACTCTCCCAGGAGTAAGGAGGCAGCTGGCTCTGCCTCTTGCCAGCAGGTGCTTTCATGAGCCCTAGTGATCCCGAAGGATTTCCAGCACTGCTGAGGTTACCTGGATCCCCTGCCACCTTCCTCTTCCCTTCTGCATCTTCAGACAACAGAGAAGTTCAAGAGACTTCTAGGAAGCAAGAGAACTAACAGAATTCACATGTAGGACAAGGTCCAGAAACAGACAACCTGAGACCAATCTCCCCACCATGAATGACTAGAGAGAACTAGGTATGAGGGGCCGAGTTGGGGTTTTTCTCAGAAGCAAAATCTGGTTGCTGTCCTTCTCTACCTAGTAATGAACTTTGTGCCATTGAGTCCACTAACATACAGTGAGTCCCTCCTCCGCCCCCCAGGCTAGGAGCTGGAATATGTGCAGGTGTGACCAAGAATAGACACATGTGGCCCCTGGTCTTATGGGGTTTATATCCCTCCACTTACTCCTGAAAATTTAATGGACTGGTTCTGACTCTACCAGTCAACTTTGTGTATCTCTTGTCTCTCCTTTGTCTGTTCTAAGATGACTCCTAGAAGGTGACATATTTCAACTCAGGTCTCCTCCTGGACAGTATCAAAATATTAACCTGTTTAACCTAGGTCTTCGCCAGCCATCCTAAAACTCAAAGCAAAAACTTAATGAATTCTAAGGAAATCTAAATCAGGTAGAGAGGTGATACAGCCTGCATTATTAAATATAGAAAAGCGTCCCTCATCAATGCGTAAAACTCATTGTACATACTTCCCCCCATGATTCAGGTCCTATACCTCAACAGGAATTTTCTTTTTTTTTTTGAGAGAGGTTTTTGCTATAGGGCGTGTGTGCTCGCCAGACAGAGAGAGACAAAGAGACAGAAAGCGAGAAATCACCCCCCGGGGGGATGGTCACACCGCAATCCCTTCTCCTCCATTCTCCTCTCGGGATCTTGGGCATGCACGCACACGCGCCCGGTGTGAGGTTAAGCCACCAGGTCCGGGAAGCAAACCACGGTTGACTACGTGGGAGTCCAGCGACACAGCCATTACGCTAACTGCTGGTCCCAACAGGAATTTTCTGTGTTAAATATAATGTGAAAATCCATCCTGAGTGGGTGGGGGACAAATGAGATGGCTTTTCCTCTGGTCACAGCATGGAAGCACAGAGATCTCTGAGTCCATGACATTCCTGTGAACCCTCCTATATTAGAGTTTTCCAGAGAAACAGGACCAGTAGGATATCCATGGGGGGGGCGGGGGAGGGAAGGAAATGAGTTGTATGAAACTGACTTACACCATTACGGAGGCTGAGAAGTCCCACGATCTGCAGTCTGTAAGCTGGAGAGCCAGGAAGGCTGGTGTAATTTAGTTCGAGAGTGATGGTCTGAGAACCAGGTGAGCTGATGGTGGAAATCCCAGTACGAGGGCCAGAGATGAGATGTCCCAGCTCAAGCAGTGGGGTAGGAAGCAAAGGAGTGAATGCCTCCTTCCACTACCGTCCATTCTGCTTAGCCTTCCACCTACAATGGAGCAGCTCTCCACACTGTCTACAGCAACACAAACTAGGTTCAAGGCCAGAACAGGGAACCAGCCTCGCCTCCATCTTTACCCAGAACCAAGGGAAGAACTGTGGTTCTCAAGGGCTTGCAGTAACGTTTCTAGTCTCTTCCCTAGGCTTCAGAGACAAGCTGTGAGGAAGTCAGGGAAGCTGGGGAGCCAGATTTGGGAGGGCTGCACAGAAACAACAGGGGATTAAGGTTCAACATGAATTTTGAAAGGGACACATTCAAACTATAGCAAAGACCATTACTTCTATTGGAGACATTTTTCAGTAGTAACTTCTCTTGAAAGGCTGAGCGACTGGTAAAAGTCTGCTTTATTTCCATGTCGATTGTCAGCTCTGTGGAGGATAATCAGCAGCCACTTGCTGAAATGTTAGAGGCCAGAGACAGACTGGACATGCAATCTTCCCAGAGTGGTAAGGCGTCACAGTAGATGAACAGACGTTGGACTAGCCCAATACCGGTAATTAAATGCAGAAGGTTCTCGAAGTCTGTGGATATAATAAGTCTTAGCAAATATAAGGGGTCTTTAAAAATTTCATAGAAAATGCCTGTTATGAAAAAACTAGGGCCAGCTGATGGAGTAGTGGTAAAGATGGCTGGCTTCCACATGGCTGATAGTGTATTTTGAGTCCTGTCGGACCTGGCAGCTTGAGAAAAATTTAAGTGTGCCCAAGATCCCAAGAGGAGAAATGGAGAAGGGATTGTGGCATGACAATCTCCCATGGGGGGGTGTGCTTTCTCACTCCCCCACCCACACCTCTCTCTGGAGAGAAAAAAAAGAGAAAAAATTAGAGAGAAAAAAAGAAGCTATGTATGGATCTCAAAAAAATTTTTACACCAAGATAAGCTCATACTTTCATTCCATTTTCTCAGGATCTTTTTGAAGTCTGCTAGTAATTGAAAAGGAAGAAAGCAGAAAGGAGGTGCAGCCAGGAAATACCTAAGAACGAAGCAAAAAATACAGAAATTTTATATATCTACTAAGGAAATGTAACTATATTGAGTAAGCAAATGGACAAAGATATATTTATAAGATAAATGTTTATTTTATTGATTCCTACTAACTTTTTTTTTCTTTTCTTGGAGAGGTGTTTTTTTTTTTTTTTTTTTGCTTAAGGGCACGTGCGCCCCCCAGACGGAGAGAAAGCGAGAAATCACCCCCACAGGGCAGATGGCCACGCTGCAATTCCCTCTCCTCCATTCTCCTCTCGGGCGCTCGGCACAGCACGCACACATGCCCGGCGTGAGTTTAAGCCACCAGGTCTGGGACTTGAACTGCGGTCGACCACGTGGGAGTCTAGCAACATAGCCATTACGCCAACTGCTGGTCCCAACTCCTACTAACTTTTAAGCATAACTTATTCAGCTCTTGATTGCTAGGTCACAAGCAAGCATCATTTGTTTAGGAAGACTATTCTGAACTAAGCTGCTGAGTTTAAGTCAGAATGACCTGGGTTACAGAACTTCAAGGCTGAATGTCAAGACATGCAATTTGTGAGCTGTCTTATATAATCCTGAGCTATGTTAAAGTCAATGATATGACAGATGAAAGTGCTTTTTTTATTTTTTAAGATTTTTTTTTTTTTTTGCATCTTAGGGTGTGTGTGCTCACCAGGGAGAGAGAGACAGACAGACAGACACAGTGAGAGAGAAAATAAGAAACCACCCACCGCCCCCCGCCCTCCAGTGGAGATGGCCACACCACAATCCCTTCTCCTCCATTCTCCTCCTGAGATTTTGGGCATGTACACAATATGCACCTGGTATGATTTTGAAGCTGCCAGGTCCAGGATTTGAACCATAGTTGGCCATATGGGAGTCCAGTGACATAACCGCTATGCCATCTGCTGGTCTCAAGTACTTTTTTAAGAATTTTTTTTAGAATTGAATTTCATTTATCATTATTATCATTTTAAATTTGCTATAGGACAAATGCACTTGCCAGAGAGAGATAGGGAGAGAAAGGGAAGGTGGGAAAGCAAGCCCCCAGATCCAGGACTCGAACTGCAGTTGGCCTTGTGGGAGTCCAGCACCTTAACCACCATGCCACCTGTTTGCTCCAGGTATGAGAACTTTTTTTTTTTTTTTTTGAGAGGTTTATGTTATAGGGCACGTGCACTTGCCAGAAAGACAGACAGAAAGCGAGAAATCACCCCCCCCAGAGGGGATGGCCACGCCGCAATCCCTTCTCCATTCTC